CCAGGTCGAAATAATTCTCACACGACTGGAAAATCGGCCCAAAAAGGGCAAAAATAAATCATACAGTGTATGCCCAGCCCTAATGGATGCCAGGTCCTTATTATGGTGGCGGAGGTTCTAAAACTCACAGAACCTAGTAGGAAATTACATTACATTTATGGGGGAAAAAAAATGCTGGTTAATTAGGAGTAAATATAAATAGTGAAAATCGTGAAAGTCTTATTTTTGCATTGGCATGTTTTCCTGATATCTTCCAACCCTATAGTTAGTGTATATATAAAAAAGTAAACCCTTTATCATTTCTGTGTATATTGTATGTGAATACTAGGAACATTTTTATATCAGTCTGCTAATTCAAAGCTATATTGAGGGATTGTTTTCATTTTTATCCATTGGTGTCTCTGGAACGATTAAAGCTTCTAAAGAGTAGGCTGAAATCGTTCTTGGATCTATTTCAATTCCCAGTTTTCACTGGCAGGGATATACAGATATTACTTGTTTATCTACTGTGCCTACATTTTATTTTACACTTGCATGTAATTAGCTGTCAATAGTAATAATAATAATAATATTTAATAATAATACTTTGGACTTGCAATGCACTTTATATATAAACAAATCCCAAAGTACTACATAGTAAAACAATAACAGCAGTCTTTGATGGTTAGGTGTGAACAAATGCTCCGATTTTCAGATTTTATATAAATTTTTTAGTGAGGAGCCTGGATTGAAATCCTTCTATTAGAGATGTAGTAAATGCCAGTATTTACTGTTTGATCCAACCTGTTTATAATTGATTCACCATTCATGTTGGGTTTTATAAAGAAAAGGATGCTTTAAAAATGAAGAAAAAAAAAACAGAAAATATTGGAAGTTCCTTGGTTTGTGTATTAATAAAAAGGGGGGAAAGGATAATTTCTAGATTTTGCTTGAAGGCCTCTAAAGTTTCTTTAGAGAGGCTTTATCCTAATAAGCTTGAAGCTTCAGAAATTATGTTTAAGCAGATTATCTCCCATTGTGAGGTATTTCTTTTAAAAGCTTCTTAAACAGTAAAGTCAAAATTGATCAGTTATTTTTCCTCAAAACATAAAACAGTTCTACAGTGAAAATTGTTATATATAGAATATACCTTCAATACTATGTATTTTCTATTTGTGTTAAAAAGGGGGGAAAAAACTCCAGATCAATTTATCAAATCTGCATTGGTCAAACTGGGAGTTTTTCAACTTTTAATTCTCTTAATAAAGTCAGGTATGTTTGACCCTAAATACAGTTTGGAGAACAACTATGTTGACTGCAAAAAATGATTGCATGTTTAGTCTGATATTTGAACAGAGAAGAGCTGGAATCCACCTGGAAGTAATGTTTGAGACTAGGAGTCCATTTAATCAGATATTCATCACCAATTGTTTTCAAATTCGGTATGGTCTCCCCTAAAAAAAATTATAAAAAAATAAATAAAAATGGGTTTTTAAAATGATTGGTTTAATTTGGGCTTTAAACTCATATAGCTAGCTATGTCAAGTAGACTGATCCAGCTTTTCCTCATAAAATCCAATATGAATACCTGGGCTGAGCAATATAGGTCGATACGGAGCCAATACTACTGTTGAATAAATGAACCGTGTGCCTTGCTGTGCAAGTGAAGGATCTGTCTTGACAGAAAAAATAAATGTGAACAAAGGGTAAAAATAAATACCAATTTAAATGTTATTCTATACGAATTGGCAAATACAATCCATATAAAATATAGCAGCTGCCTGAAACTCCCTTTAGACCAATGTGGTTATTTTGCTTTGTTTGATATTAATGAAAAAAGAAACGACTGGATCAGAATACTGGATCTGCTTCTTTCATTCAATATCCGATCCAGATAATTAGTCATTGACCCTATATCCCATACGGGTATTAGATCAGTGCATCTCTTGTATGAAGGTATACCATTTTATTAAAGTAACTGATCTAAATCACTATTTGTTTTTTTTTTTTTGCTTCCTGGGGTACTCATAGAGTAACTTGGCTCTAACCGTTCCCCCTGTGTTGCCTGTCACTGCTGGTGAGCTGGCTGAAAGGGGCAGGCCTTCCACTCCTTGCCCTTACATCTTGACCATGAGTGATCCCAGATGTTTTTTATTAAATATAGGGAGGGGGAGGGTGGAGGGAAAGTAAGTGGTTTAAAAGCCATTCTGATATCCACTCAGATTTATTCTATTGTTTGTTTGATCAATTTTTATTATTCTTTAAATTAAAGCAATGTAAAAATCATAAAAATAAAAACTTGAAAGGAGTTATTTAGATCCCAGAAAATATTGAAATATTTTGTTTAATATCATTGGTTGATTTTCCTTTAAACAACCAATGATATCAAAGCAATCATCTATTCTTTTTAATTAGCTCTTACAAAAAAGGAAGGGGGGGTGAAGGGGTACCAAAGGAAATGGTGATTCAGACTGAATGTCTTTAGGGTTTCTTTCAGTGTTTGTGTCTTTGGACGTCTTTGCCAGTTGTCACACATTGTTACTCAACCCCAAGCATTCTCCAGAGCTGGTTTACCTTATAAGGCAGAGTGACTCCATGGCAGTGGGAGAATGTGGAGTTAATGCTCAGGGAAGGGGTGTGACCAGAGACAGGCATTGCTGAAGGAGAGCACAATCAAAGGGAGGAAATGAGAGAATGGTGGGCAGCTAACTTCCTGTCACCTTTTTCCAAGATCCTTATTTGAAAAGCAATGAAAGCAGAGCAGTTCATCATTCCTGATACTTGTGACGAAGCCAGGAGATAATCCAGCTGGCAAAGAGTGAGGAAAGCAGCCTCTTACTGCACAACTGCACCCTCAGGAGGATCTCCAGGCCTCCCCTATACTGTCACGCTTTGCAGAGTTGCAGGCATGAGAATATGTTCAGGACACACATAAAGTTCTGATATTGCACAGAGCTGTCTGTGTGCATGAGGGGATCTCTGTCCCCGCAATGTTTGTGAAAGCCTGATGATGGATAAGGCACCAGGTCACGCCTTTATCATTTGTGTGCAAAGGCACGCTTTCACTGTAGTAACTTAAACGAGTTTGTGTAGTTTTTTGTTTTCTTTTTACTCTTAGCGGCAGGAATGTTACCGTCTGGTAATTATATCTTTGTGTGTTCAGATCACTTCTGTGTCTGGCCAGAAGCTCATGTATGTTTGCGTCCACAGTCACACTGTCTTCCTCCCTCATTCGCTATGCTGGGAAATGACTGTATTTGTTGTTTCAGGCTGCAGTTTAACCCTGTGCAACAATTCTCACCTGGCCAATGGAGGCTGATGAGAATTCAAGATGGTCTGAAAGATTTATTCCTCATTCATTCATTTTGCAGTGGGCTGTCTTTCCTCTCGTGTGCTGACTGCTATGGGAGACACAAACTACGAGCTAACAGACGTTTCCTGTCTGGTATCAGCGGCCCTCCCTTGGCACCAGAGGCAGAGAGGAGATGGTTTAAATATCAATGGGAAGATTTGGTCCGTAGCCAACAGAGTTGGAAAAGAGAAAGGTGGAGAAACAGTTGATGCAAGCTGAAAAACTGTACTTTCATTTTCCTGGAATATGAATATGAAAGAGTAGGAGTCTAGACATTAACTCAGACAGACACACACAATGCTATTTCCTCAGAGTGCTTTCTCTTTCCCTCCCTGATTGAGTCTTTTCTCTTCAGTTTCACCCAAAGCCTCTCAGAATGACTCGACCACCTGCAAACTGAATGGCAAGCACTTTGCCTTCTGTACTCATGATGAGCTAATGAATCACTAACCTGCTGCTTTGCACCTTTTACTTTTTTTTTCTATTTTTATTTGCAACTGTCACTGATTGTAATGATTCAAAGGTCCACCCCATGTGCATCTTATCAGAAATGCTTTAGACTCTCGAGTCCAGTTTGAAAGCAACTACTCCATTTAATATTTATTTCCAGCAACGGGTATTTTTGTATAGCTGAATGTTTGCTTTCTCTTTACCCTTTCTCCTCCTCTGTTTACCGAGGGCAGATGAGGGGGGGGGTTGCCCTCTTGCTTGGTTGATTTCTACATCCACTTATACCGGAAATTAAGTTTGTGTTTCATTCAGATCTTGCTAAAGATCTTGGCTTCAAACAGCAGCGTATGTGAGCTTTTCTGTGGACCTCCAGCTGTTCTTTATCTCTGGTTGGTATAACAACATATGTTTCAGTCCACCTGCAGCAAAGCATTCCCTCTGTTTGGATTTAGGCAGTTAATGCTGAATTATTAAAATGTCCCAATGATAAAGCAGAATATTTTCCTGTCGCTATGGCGCCAGGGTCATGCTCTTGTGGTTATGTTTGAATATCTTTTAACAGATGTTTTGTGAGAGAGAACAACTGTAAAGGCCTGTGTAGTGTTGAACTGCCATAAGGTCACTTTAAACCTATACAAAAATAAAACCTTGCCTTTAATTTTGTATGGTAGGCGAAAGGGTTGCTTTTTTGCAAAAATAAATGATTCATTAAATAACAGAAGTGGTTTGGTGGAAACGTGTCATAATCATGAGGAACTTGGTGACTTAAGCTATTCTATAAGATGAATGCATTAGTCCACCTAATATTCTTGTCTCTAAATTTTTTTAAAACTATATTTTCCAGCATAAGCTTGGGAAAATAAAATGAAGGATCCAAAGATATTTATGATGGCAGGCTTTTCTCTCTGTTTATAAATGATCCATCCATTCCTCCTCTTTACCACCTCTGGTTTTGCAGGTTCCATATTCAAAGCCTGGCCACTTTAAAAATGTTTAAAATTTATTCCCCAGGGAAGTTTTGCATTTATGTGCCTTTTTTACATTTGAACCTAAGAAACACACAAAAAAAGACTTAATTCCTCCTCATATTTGTATTTCCTCTGCCTTTCCACTGCTCTCGTCCTGTCTTTTATTTTGCCATAACAGGACACTGGTCTGATGCTTTCCTATGAAAGGGACCAAGTTAACCTCTCTTCTTCCATTCTGTTTTATCCTACAGGCAGAGGGTGATGTCGCAGGTCTTAACCGTAGGATCCAGCTGGTAGAAGAGGAGTTGGACCGAGCCCAGGAGAGGTTGGCAACAGCACTGCAGAAGCTGGAAGAGGCTGAGAAGGCTGCAGACGAGAGTGAAAGGTTGATGCGTTTTGCTTCTGTCAATTATCTAATATATAACTGATGTAGACATCGTTTTAAACATGCATCTGTTGCCTTTTCTCATATCAGGGGGATGAAGGTGATTGAGAATAGAGCAATGAAGGATGAGGAGAAGATGGAGATCCAGGAGATGCAGCTGAAGGAGGCCAAACACATTGCAGAGGAAGCTGACCGTAAATACGAGGAGGTAAAGCTGCTTACATGCTCCAAGTTCTGCTGCTTTCACCTGGAAGGGTGCAGTGGGGTAGGAAGTGGTATGGCTAGATACAGGCTCAGACAGGGAGGGGCACACACACCTCCAAATTGTCCCTAGACTAGGTGGCACTTATTGTTAAGTGACTGAGATAAATAGCCAGTTTTTCAGGCTGTAGTTAAATCTACCGTGAACCTGTCAGTATTTAAAAAAAAACTTGGCATAACATAATGAGGAGGAGTAATTATGAGAAGCAGCTAACAAGATTACAGCTGCAACTAACAATTGTTTAGCAAATCGATTAATCTGTTAATTGTTTTTTTTTTTTTCCGATTAATAATCGGTTAGCCAAAGGCTCCTTTAAAGAAGATCTATATTTACAGATTAAGAAATGAAACTAGCTGAAACTAAAACGTTTCCACTGAGTTCTGGATAGGGCTTAGATATTTTTCTACAATTTCAATATCATCACTGCTCTCAGTGGATTGCTCAAGGTCAGCTAAAGGCATGCTTTACAGTCGCTATACTCCATGCAAGGATTAATTACTTACTAAATTAGTTGAATTAAATTACTAGTTAAATTATATTTTTTAATAATTGACTAAATGTGATTAATCGGATTAGTTGTTTCAGCCCTAAACAAGATATAAGCGGATCAAGCATTAGAAACTTTCTTGTACGTAATTTGACTACCTGTTGGTGTGTTGGGTAGTTTAAAGCATTTAAAGCATCAATATGCTTATATGTGGACCTAGTTTGACAGTCTGTCCCAGGTGTGAGCAGCCTAATGAAACTGTTCAAATGTTAATGAGAATGTCTTTTGTCTTAGGTGGCTCGTAAGCTGGTGATCTTGGAGGGGGAGCTGGAGAGGGCGGAGGAGAGAGCTGAAGTAGCCGAATGGTAAAGAAAAGATGCACATTCACATCATATAGATATAAAAAATGCCTGAATGTTCCATGTTTTAAGCTCTCGCATGATAGCAAAAAATTTTTTCTCATTGTGCAGTAAAGCCAGCGACCTGGAAGAGGAGTTGAAAAATGTGACGAACAACCTGAAGTCCTTAGAAGCCCAGGCAGAGAAGGTGAGAACCAACACTGAGGAAATCAGACATGCATGTTCAAGTTATTAATTTTAAACTAATATTGGTAAATGACATATAGTATAGAAAGAATATAGCAGAATATGGAAAGCAGCAGTAAAGAGTCTATACTAATAGTCTGATCTATTATCACATCAGTCTGTTTATTACATGGGAAAACTTGTAATGAAGATGGTCTGGCTTTGAGATCATACTTCTCTGCACTTGCTCCTGTTATTTGGCCTCTGTGTGGCTCAGTAGGCAGTAATTTAGGAAAACTGCACTACATCACTATTGTTTTGTAGTAGCTAAGCATTACAAAGTCCTCCTTTCTGTGTAATCAAGTGTTTTCCTGCTAAACTGATCAGATAAGTCCCTCAAAGCTAATGATTGTCAACAATTAGTCACCATATAGACATTAGTGTGTGTTTAACAAATGCATCGATACAGTGACCAGTAAAAGTATTGCTTACGTATTGAACTTTTTCACATATTTTCATTTTATAGCAACTGACATCACTGTATTTTTCTGGCCGTTTTATGGGAAAACAAACAATTCTGCCATCTGTAATTAAATAGCCATAAATAAAATCAAATTTGTTTGACCTTTAGTGAACAAACGGCATCATAAGGATCAAGAAAAATCCACAGACCTAAAGTTTAATCATCTGAAAATGCAAAGACTATGGCACGAATTGTTTTTGTGATTTAGAAAGTTTATTTAATGTTCATTTAAGAGCAGCAAAAACAACATTTTTGGGCGAAAGAAGTAGAAGTAAAATTACTGATTACAATTTTGCCACTGAGGAAAGCTATAAGATGGCATGAAAGCTTTTTTTGGACAAACTGTTATACTTGGCTGTGGGAGCAAAATCTTTAACAAGACTTAAAAACTAATGACTAGACGCTCTCCTTGTACTTTGACTGAGCTTCAGGCTATTTTGTAGAGATAATGCAGAAATTGCAGCCTGCAGAGCTTGTAAGAGAGACAAACTTAAAAACGGCATCTGGCTATACATTCTTTTAAAAGTGGCTTCATTTTATCTTATTTTCTTTTAGTTGAAACATATGCTCCACATTGTGTCAGCTACACCATAAAACCCTAGTAAAATACACTGCTTTTGATTTGAAATGTGACCAAACATGATTGGACGTACAGATTGTGTAAGACACAGTAGGGTGTGTCTGTGAATGCCAGCTGAAGGATCCTGCCCTTTTGGGTCTGAACTTTCCTCCCAAGGTGAGGCATGCAGTATGACGACATGCCGGTTTAATCACATGCCTGCTTTCTCTTTGCATCGCACCATTTGGTCTGCTGTTAACTTTCCTCAGCCAAGCCTGTCATGGATGGCGGCACAGCTCAGTGTGTTCCCAGAACAAATCAATATAGTTGCCTGCCAGGAAATTACCTTTTTTTTCCTGTTTAATTCCTCCTTGTTCTTGCATTGGTTCATTTATGTTCACACTCCAGTTAATTTGCTTGCAAAAGCAAGTCAGAACCAATTTGAATTAATACCAATGATTTATATTCTTTTTTTTTTTCTTAACAGTACTCTGAAAAAGAGGACAAATATGAGGAGGAGATCAAAGTCCTGACCGACAAACTGAAGGAGGTGAGAGCCAAATAAAACTTTTTATGGCATTGAGGTGATCTTTCTATTTTTTTGTGATTAGTTTAATTGTGAAGGTGTCTCTGTAATAAAAGGAGAAAGTTATTATTCTTATTACAAACCCCCAGGATTTAAAGTGGTGAAAATGATTATTTTGTGCGTTTGATCTCCATCCAGGCTGAAACCCGAGCAGAGTTTGCTGAGAGATCAGTGGCCAAACTGGAAAAGTCCATCGATGACTTGGAAGGTATGCAAGCATTGCCGCTCTGGTTAAAGTGCTGCTCTTTGCTTCTCAGGTTAATTTACACTCAATGCAAGCAGGTAAAGTTCTGATGGAAATCTTCAAAGGTCTGAAAACAATCTGGAGAAAATAAAACAATGTACACTAATTCTATGCAAACCACCCACGAAATATGAAAATATCCTCTTTTCCAAGGCTGCAAAGAGGACAGAATGTGCTTGCATGTTTTTTAGGTCAGCGTTATTTAGCTGATGAAGCCCAGAGAGCTAACTTTATAGTGTTATTGGAACAGCTTTATGAGACACAGAGCAGGCTTAAACCTTCACAGCTCACCCGACAAATACAGCTATTAGCCCAATTAGACATGTATCATTCTTTTAATGAAAGCATTTCTGCATCTTTTTTTTAAAAGCCTGACCTGTTTTTTTTCTCTTTGTCTCTTCTATCATTCTTCTGCTCTTTCCTGCCTCCATCTGCTCCTCATGCTGCTTTTGGCTTGTCTGTGCTGCTGCTGTCCTTGCCACCCGCCTGTACTTGGCTGTTGACCTCTGATCTACAGACGAGCTGTATGCTCAGAAGCTGAAGTACAAGGCCATTAGCGAGGAGCTGGACCATGCTCTCAATGACATGACATCTCTTTAGGCGTCCTCTGCTTGCGCTGATTCTCTTCTCAGAACCTGTGTAGCTTATTTTCTCCCTACAGATCATATGTGCCTTTTGCTCATCTTGCTTTGCAAAACTATTTCATTAAAGTCTCTTTATTTCCTACTTTGCTGCATTTGTCTCTGTCCTTAATTATGCCTTTAACAGAAACTTTCTTTTTTTGTCACATTACAGCTTCAAACAATATTCAATGGAATCTTTTAATTTAATGGGCCAAGAAAACCAGCATATAATTGTGAAGTTGAAGCATAAATGAAATTGGTTTGAACTTTTTTTTGTGATTCTCCATAAACTGCATTTAGAAATCTCTCCATCAAGACAACTGTTCTGGAAACAAATGGTGTCAAAGGGATGGGGTTGGTTGTAAAACAATATTCCAAGATTTGATCATGTTAAGGCGAACCATTCAAACTAACATCTGAAATTGTAAAGGTATGGCATTACATCAGACCTATTAAAACTTGTTCGCCCATCTAAACCAGAAGAGGGATCAGAAGGAGAAACATTAATTAGATGGGTCTGGTGGAAATGGATACAAAAGAAAACAAAACGGTGTTGGTGGAATAATCTGATGAAAGGTCAACTATTATTTCTTGCATTCCATGAATCTGACTGCTATGAAGGAGTGGTAAGCAGAAAACCATTGTGGGAATAAAACCCACAAGATGTTCCAATGGCAGCCATTTGGGGGATGCAGAAATGTGTGGAAGCTCTGTTGAAACCAGAGTTTTCAATAACGTTTTGGTCTACAGTACATATTAAAAAAACACTTGTTTGGATGAAGGGTACTGTTACAATGCTACGTTGCCTTGACTACAACATCGCCAGGGAGAAAAATTGTGGCGGAAACCTCATGTCGCCGGGATGCTTTTCTATATCTACAGTAGGAACTAGAAATCTGTTCAGAGTTCTTGTGAGTTTGGGTCAGCTGTACATGATGATCCTTGCAGGAAAACCTGTTGGAGGCTGTAAAAGATTTGAGACTAAGGCTGATGGTTCATCAAGCAGCAGAAGAAATGCTACACATACCTATGCCAGAGCTACAGAGGAAAGCACTGTTTTGTTACAGCCCCGCCCCTAGTTTGTATGGCCCATGAAGGCAACTTTACAGAGAAGAATGAAGAAAATGTTCCCCTCCCTTCCCAATGATGCACCATTTGCTCATCAACTGCATCAATGTTAAAACATCTTTTTTTTTTTTTAATGAGATAGTAAATTTCTGTTGTCTAAATCAAACTGGACAGTCATGTAAACAAGGTGAGGCTTCCTTGGAATGTCTGGTCTGATTTTAGTTTCCATTAAAACTAATTTGCAGGCCTTTAGCACCTTAATAGTTCAACCTCAAAAATCCTTGTTGTATTCTAACAATTAAGAATTCTTTTTGTGCATGACAGGCACAGTGTTGTGGTTAGAGTTTTGCATGTGACACAGCTTAACCCAAGTACCTATGCAAAACCTCTGCTCTGGAAAACGGTCCTCTGTGCAGACACTGAGCTCTATCACTGGCTGTTCTTGAGAGCTCAACATGTCACCTTTTTTCTCTCTCCAGAGAAACTATCGTCTGCCAAAGAGGAGAATCTGGGCATGCACCAAGTCCTGGACCAGACCCTGCAGGAGCTGAACAGCTTATAAATGCCTAGAGAGGAAGATGGGGAGGATGAGATCATCATTAACATTCCATTAAAATGTTCAACTCCATTCCACATTTCGAGCTGTAAAACCTTCACTCCCCACAGGCTTAACTTAATGCTCGTCCCTTGATGTTTTTTTTTTTTCTCCTTTTGTTTCTTGTTTCTTTTTATTTCTAGCTGAGATTGCAGAAAATTCTTTTAGGAAAGTTTTGGACCAATTATTTAGAAAGAAGAGATGATGGGTTCACTTAAATAAGCCTACGATTTGGTCTGTAATGAACATAACCTGGCTTAAGTTAACATCATACAAGCATATAAATTATTCCACGGGTATTTTAGGGAAATCCTTCAGGTTTAATTTCTCAGACATGCAAGTTTTCTTTTTTTTTTCTTTTGATTTTTAAGTGGGTGCAGCTAAATATACATTACCGTATGCTCATCCATGCCTGATCTGGATCTTCCCAAATCTGCTTGGTTTTAATCCGCATCATGGCTCGCCTGATGGAAAGGTTTTCACTAATAAACACACTATTAAGGGAGAAGCTGCTCCTTCACTTTAATCTGATTTACAATCAACTTCAGAGCAACTCTAACCTGAGAGCAGCGTTTTGGATGTTCTACAGTACATGTTTCATGAGTCTGTAGAGTCGTCAGGCTGCAGAACCTTTCCTACAGTATCACAACACTTGAGTGAGCTCAACCCAAAACAAACGAAGTTGCATCTCGTAAACCATGGAGAACTATTGTATATAGTAGGAGAATGTTAGGTATGTGATAAGCTGTAATGCTTTGGATATTTTTTATTTGCTTTTTACACCACTTCTTTATTTTCCAGGGGAAATGCGTAGACCAAAGAACACATGACACAGACAAACGGATCTTTAAATGTTTTATTATATTTTTTTTGTGACGGTCTCGGCTCATGTTAAGGCCTTGGAGGGGGGGGTGGGGTAAAATTTATGATCGAGGTCATTTTACTTTTCTTTTAATTTCATTTACCACCCCCTCCATGTTCAACCTTCAAAATAAAATGTTTTACAGAATTTCGGATTCATTCGACTCCTGCATTTTGAGGTATTCTATTCTGGGGATAGACAATTATCCTCTTACATTTTACTTTGAATTTAGCGTACAAGCATGTTCCTCCATTTGTGTTTTCATTAAAACCCACAGTAGGATTAAAAACATCCCCAAATTCAAGATGCAGATAGTTCAGGCATGACACCTCCAAGCCACATTGGGAGTGTGGCTAAGATCCAGTCATTTTATGGTCCATTTTGCTGCCTCCTAGTGGATATCATGGCAAATCACAGCTCAGGGACTTTTCTTCCTGAAGGCACAGCCTAAATAGAGAACATAATAATGTAGGCATCTCCCTGACATGTATGCATATAATTGATACGGCTTCTTTTATTTTTCTATTACATTAGCACTGGTTTCATATGCTGCTCCTACCTGCTGTCAGTCTGCATTTCCCCCCTCGTGGCATGCAGAGGATAACCGAGCAGCCTGGGCAGGTCACCACTGTTTGGGCATGGCTGAAGATTGTGGAGATCCTGTAGCAGCCTAATGAAATAAACCAGAAATATTAGTAATTTATGGGACTTGTGTTGCTTCATGCAGCTTTGGAGAAACACTTACCAAGGCATTTGACATCCATGAAGTATGAGTCAGGCCTCTGCACCAGCCTCTTCTTCTTGTGTTTCCTCCTCTCCTCTAAAAGACTAGGGTGCATCAAATCTTTGGCCAGCTGCAAAGGTCAGCCAAAGGTCAATCTTTACATTTGATTTAATACTTTAAGGTCAGGTCCCAGGGAACCTGAGCCCAAACCTTTGCTGGAGTTTTACTGCCCCCTACAGTGCTATGAATGAATTACCAGTTGAAGAAACATGCCCGGACAAGTTCCAACATCATTTATAACAATTATAGGAAATTAAATGGATAACTTATTACAGCTCTTTTTAAAAAATAGCATTTTACAGTGCAAAGAAATTCATGTTCTAACTTAATGTATATCTGTTTTCAAAATGTGCAGTGAAAAGCAGTATGTTTGTAAGAACAGAAACACAATCATAACAAAAATAATAGAACAAAGATCAAACTTGATACATATATATATATATATTTTATTTTTTTTTTTACTTACAGACATGGTTTTGTTGATCAGCTGGGGTTTTCTGTCTGATAGAAACGAGTAGAATATGGTGCACTAGTCTGCTCCTGGATTCACCTGATCTGTTTACAACTCTGATGTGCTGGAGGAGAGAAATTAAAAGGGGCGTATCCTTCTGTTCAGGGGGAGGGGCTAGAGGATCTTACATCTATGAATTATACCTAGGATTGTTAATAAAAAAAAAAAAAGTGAACAAAACATTATTAAATTAGAGAAATCTTTGCACATCTACAATAAAGTTTGGGGTTCATTTTTCCTTCAGAATGAAATAGGTCACTACACACAACTAGTTAGTAAACCATTCTGTTTCTAATTTGACAGTTTTAACTTATAAAATGATATTTTACCATATTTATATGATGTGTTTTTTTGTCCACATACCTTTATGGGATCAGGAGAATGTGAGTCATACGCGATAATGGGATTGTGAAGCATTCTGTAGTGTTGCTTTCGAGTTCTACCCAGTCCTTGGATAATAATATGAAAGTCTGTTTCCACTCTCTGCACAATTTCAGTTTTTCCATAAATGGACCGGTCTCCATCAGTGCTCCCAAACTTCACCTCCTATAGATGAAATGATTATGAGAGTTTCATCAGATGATGACCTCCTTGACTATGCTCCACTACCACTTAGAAATCAACCTGAAAGACCCTTATTGGTGTCGTATTGTGAGTCAAATCAAAAAACGTTGCTTTTGACTGAGTAAATTTGCAGATTTTGGCATGGCAATTTCAGAAATATAAGATTTAAATCTTTTTCAATCTTATATTTTCACATTATCACTTTTCCTGCTGGGAAATCCAAGTTGATGTAAAATCTGCATTTCTGTAGATTCTTTAAGCAATTTGTTAACATCCTCCCACAGAACATCAATTTATAGGAGAGCTATAGTTTAGGTCTTCATCTAGACCTTTGTAAAGTGGAAAAGTATCCAGATTACTTGCAGCAGACCTGCACTGTCTTGTGTAAGTCCCTTTAATTAAATTGATCTTAAAATCTTGCAGTGGCCTAAAATGATTCCGATGGATCTCTCTACCATGTGCAGATACAAATCTATAGTTTTTGCATTTTGTTTGTGTTTCTTAGACCTTTAATGCAGGAATTTGTCAGTGAACTACATCCTCTCAAACGGATCCAGTTTGTGCTTGAAAAGTGAATCTATCAGCTGTAGTTGGTCATGATCTTCAGGAGAAGGTGATAGACCGTGGCCTGCCCAGGTTACATAATTAAAAAAATCATCATTCAATTCAGTTTATTTATATAGCGTCAATTCACAACAGGTCATCTCAAGGCCTTTTACCAGAACATACAGTCAAATTGATTCCAAGTTTTCTATCTAAGGAAAACGAGTTGATTGCATCAGCTCATTGGCTTGGATGCAATCCCTCACCCTAAGCATGCTTGTAGCGACAGTGGAGAGGAAAAACTCCCTTTTAATAGGAAGACACCTCTAGCAGAACCAGGCTCAGTGTGAGCAGCCTTCAGCCGAGGCCGACTGGGGTTCAAGGAGACAGAAGCAGAGATATAAAAAGCAACTGTAAAAAGCGTCCCCGTCCAGGAAACACACAGCCAGGCAGACAAGCTCAGAGCCAGCTCCCATGTCAGAGGATGAATAAAGCACATCAGTTAGTCACAGTAAGAGAAACAGGACTACACTGGAAAAACAGGCTGATCTCCAACATCTTTAAACAAAGGTGTTGATGGCAGCAGCACAGCTGATATTTCTCTCCAGGGTGGTGTCACAGCCAAACAGGAACAGATGAGGCAAAGCTGTTTAATTTAATTTCTACCTACATTTATTTGTTTAATGTATTTTGGCGGGTATTAATTGTATGCTTATTTATTTACTAAGCATTTATTTATTTCTGTGTTTATTTTTAAATATGGCAAAATTGGTCCTCCACAGATTTGACAGTCTCTTTGGTAAAATTTGCAATTGTTGAACTTTTCTTTCTAATTTTAAAGACTGCATATTTTATCTAATTATAGTCAATATTTATTAAGGCTTTTCTTTATAAAGTCTTGAATGTTTTTTTTTTTTTCAATAGTGAAGTCGTTGCTTCCTTTCTATGTAAAAGGAAACTAATTTTAGCCTCCCCTCTTTGTCACAGATCGTGTAGGATGGTCTCATTTCCGTGTCAGCATCAGCCAACGCCATTTTTTCACATCACATACATCGTTCAGATGAGAACTAGTTTGTGTAGTCCTTAGTTAAACATCACATTTACTAAAGTCTTATCCGGGTGGCAACAACCTCCAAAACGAGCACACCCACCCCGGGCGGGAGCCACGACTACAGCGCAGAGTGACAGTTGATTTGACCAACAGGAAGTCCCGGTGCAGCAGCCAGCTCTTCGCCTCTACAACGGGCGGGATATCCGCAGTAGTAAGCTAGCTAATAACATGGCGAAGACTTACGATTACTTGTTTAAACTACTTTTAATCGGCGATTCAGGTGTCGGGAAAACCTGCGTGCTTTTCAGATTTTCAGAAGATGCTTTCAACTCAACGTTTATTTCAACTATAGGTGAGTGGTAATCGTATTAATAACGCCGCAACGGGCAGAAAGCGACACCGGAGCAGCCCATCCCGTCATGCTAAGTTGGTGCTAACTTTTCAGGCTAGCATTCTGCGACTCAGGAAATGCCCAACCGGTTTGAGAGGGGGGTCTATATGAAACCTTCACTTAGATTTTACTTGACTAATGTGCTTCATAAGAAGATGTATTTATGCCATGTCGATATTTTGGAGCTGCTGTAATTATTTTATTGCCTACAAAGACGTTGACAACAGAGTTGACAAGCTAAAAAGCTAAGCAAGTTAGTTGGCAGTGTCATTTCCCTTATGCCCAGCTGGCCTGTACTTCGATCTGTTGTTGACAACGATAGCGAAAGGTCTTCATTTATCTGTCCACCACGCAAACTTATTCAAAGACTATATATACATATAATAACTAGTGTTAAATTACCATCTAGTTGCACATTTTTAATTAGCTTTATTGATTCCTATTACAATAATCCTCATTACATTTTAAAGGGAAATTTTCATATGTAATAGAATAGAATAGAAAATCCCCTTTCGTTGAATAAAAGGAAAAAAAAAAGCTGAATGTTGTAAAAAGTGTAAATCATATCTCAGTCTTATGTTTACATTGGCTCACCATGTTTACATTTTATCTCTGCTTCGATGGGGAAAATGGGGAAATTCTGATGTTACAGCAGCAAAAATTATTATAGAAAAATGGTCACACATATGAAAAGTGTATAAAAATAACACAATAGTGAAGAGTTAAAAAATAAACAAATAAACTACTGTACTGTAAAGTGTTTTAACAATTTAAATACTGTCCACCTGGAGATTAAATAACCAATATACATCTGAAAGGCTCTCAGTTTGTGCAAATAAAAAACACTATGACACTGTTATGCAACAGAATAACATTAACAAGGTAGTACTTATAGATTATTAAAAGTAAATGATTTAATGTTCTTTTATGCCTTGAGATATTTAAACATTGTAGGTAAAGATTCACTGATCAGGCCCTTTTCTGGCCAATTCTGTTTCAAGTTTTCTTTGAGCAATTCTTTCCCAGTTCCTACTTTTTTATTTCAATAACTCAAAGCGATATAAGGAATCAGTGTATTACACACTCTATTAATAATGTCTAGATCTGAATTCTACATGAGATTAAGAATTTATATATTTTTTTATTAAACTACAGACAGTACATGGATGAGGTTGTTGATTCGTGAATAGACCAAATTAAGTGGGAGGTGTTAGTTCTGGTGTATCTAATGATTATCAGTAAATAAAGTTAGGGATGTCCACAGCCGATATTGATATCAGAAACAGGTCTGATATCAGCCAAAAAATCAATATGGGATTATATTGGCCTACATACTGATAAAAGCAAGGTGATAAAAACACACCTTCTCTGTTTAAGGTTCATTAAACCTATTGGATAATAGTAAATGGGTCAGGTGTAGGACTGCAACTAACGATTATTTTAAAAATCGATTAATCGGCCTATTATTTTTTCGATTAATCGATGAATCGGACAAAAAATATTTTTTTATATTAACCTCTTTATTCCAAAATAAACAGTTTAGACAGAACAAACAAGCACACAAGTACAGGTTGCTCATTAACTGTACTGGTGCAATATGAAAAATAAATGTTTGTTTTAAAACTACGCAAACTTACATGAGAAATGTAGCTGTGCTAACGCCCCAAACTATCTAAAAAAAACATATAAGTGCGATTTGTGTTGATATTGTCAATAACTGTATTGGTCAGTACTCAAAGCTCAAATATCAGAACTGTAACAGAAATCTAAATAGTTCTTTTGGGACACTCTTAAAGAAAATATTTCTTTTGGATCATTGTTTTAGAGAAGTATACATTACTAAAATTGTATAAAAACGCATCTGAACACAGCTGAGAACTGCCCTAGCATTTAATAACTGCATTGCTAGCCTAATTGGGTTCATCTAGATGCCCCCTCACAGTTATTTTTGTTAGTGGCACTACTGCAATATACCATTGCAATAAGATCATCCACTAGATAAAAGAAGTTGGGGAAATCCCTGTTACACCTCCTTGACCAAATAAACATATGTAAGATAAAGATAAAATGTCCGAATGTGAAATATTTTGCTGCTCCTAAGTGCCAAATGCATTAAATATTCCTATTTATTTAATATCGCATCTTTTTTTTTTTTTTTTTGTTTTTTTTTAAAGTGCTATTCCTACATTAAGTTTTTAGAAAAACAGATTTTGGAAGAATATTAGTGATAGCAAACATATACAGTCTAAAGACCCTGGTTGTCCATGTGCTATATGATCCTTAAAGATCTGAACCGATTTCATCCTTAAGAAACAAAGTAATTCTGGGCTGTTTCATAAATGAAAACCATGTTTTTCTGTTACTTCGTGAAAAGTCTTACATGTTCTTTTTATTGTTTTTTTTTCTAGGCATTGACTTCAAAATCAGAACAATAGAATTAGATGGAAAGAAGATCAAACTACAAATATGGTGAGATGGACAAATGTAAAGTTTTTAAGTTGATTTTTGTATCACTCTGAGCTTAGTTTTTTTTTTTGCTGGCTACTTATAGCAGCACCTTTGCAAAGCATGCAAACAAGCTGGGAGAAGCGTCTTATCGAATGGAATCTAATTAAGCTGCAGTATGAAGGAAACTTGGCTGAAATTTTTTTCTTTTTTTGGTCTTTAGGGACACAGCGGGGCAAGAGAGGTTCAGGACCATCACAACAGCCTACTACAGAGGAGCCATGGTAAGCTGCATTGCCATGTTTCCAGATGATGCATTGAAACTGAACAGGTGCAGTGGCATTCATTAAGTTATGAGCGGTTAATCCGAAACCTTTCACAACCACGCCTCGTATTGATGTTCTTGTTAATGCTTTACACACCTAGCAAACTGAATAGTCTGCCATTGGTGTGTTTTACTTGCCTCTCTTTTAGTTCAGGTTAGGCCACATACCGATGTTTTGTTTCCTTTTCATTTACTATTGGAAAATCTATAGAATAAATTTGACTTGGTATTAAGATTGCTTAAAAAATCGGTTTTATTTTCAGAGACTCTTTCTTGTGTTCTAAAATTTGTCTCTAAATTCTGCAGGGAATCATGTTAGTGTATGATATTACCAATGAGAAATCCTTTGACAACATCAAGAACTGGATAAGGAATATAGAAGAGGTAAGCATTTCAGTTTTGAGAGCTCATATTTTCTAAAGATTATAACCGCTGTGTCGTCCCGAAATACGGAAATATGCAGTTAATCTCATCAGCGTGTTCTCTGCAGCATGCATCAGCAGATGTAGAAAGGATGGTCCTCGGGAATAAATGTGACGTCAACGACAAGCGACAGGTGTCCAAAGAAAGAGGAGAGAAAGTAAGGAGAGCTTTAACACCATGGTGTTTCACCTCTGCATAGTTTCTGACTTTTTTTTTTTTAATTCTTCTTCTCTATCCTGTTCAGTTGGCACTGGAGTACGGCATCAAGTTCATGGAAACAAGTGCAAAGGCGAACATTAATGTGGAGAATGTGAGTTCATACTTTTTTTTGTTTTATTATATAAAATCAGCCAAATTGCCCTCGTGTTAGTGCAGCAGTTTCCTGACATCCAGCAATGCCTGATTGCTTCAATGATCTGGTGTCATTTAGTTTCAGGATTACTTAAAATTTAAACTTCTTTACATGTCCAAATAATCTGCAGAATGTAATTTTGGAGGATTTATGTTTTCGTAGATTCCTGATAATAATAATAATAATGGGCTTTCAGATGATGAGAAAGTCTTATATTTAGACACACCTAAATGATTTGACAGCTAAAATAGTTTCAGCTGTTTGCAGGGTTTTCAGTAGAGATCATATTCATATAGAGATTTTAATGTTAAGCTAGTTTGCATAGTAAGACAGTTTTCAGTTGCTGCTTAATTATTAAAAGCTGGTGATGTAAAGAGAGCTTTTTAAGTCTGAAAAAACCCCTCAAAACTTTAAACGTTACCAATAATACCTGCTTCTATAATCCAAGCATAGAACTTCTTCTAAGTTACTCTTAGAATAATAGTCATTTGGCTAAGCCTTTCTAGGTTATGGTTTGATTTGATATTTTTTCTTTTGTTTCTTATGGCAGAAAACAAGAAATAAAAAATAAAAAAATAGTGTTCTTCACTAAATTAGTTTTGAGACTCTTTTTGTCCTGGAATGTTTTTATTAGAAGTTGTAGACTTTCAGTTTCAGAAAAGTGTGAAAACATGGTATTCTAGAGAAATGACAAGGTTGTTTTGTTATGAGAAGCATGTGTGTAAATGCCATGGTGTCACGGATTGGACACTAAAGCAAAAGATCTAATGACTGATTTTGGTAAAACAGGAAACCCTTCCCTAGCAGCTACTTGGATTATTTAGCATGTTATTACATATTTGGTTTAGTTGTAGACTTGGAGTACTTTTTTTGTAAAATATTTAGGGCTTCAACTAACCATTATTTTAAAAATTGATGAATCTGTCAAATATTTTTTCGATTAATCGATAAATAATCGGAGAGCCAAAGATTCCTTAAAGAAGATTTTTTTACTAAATTAAATCAGATGAAACAAACTTTTACACTTAAAGAGTTCTTGGTAGAGCATATTGACAGATGAAAGTTTTTTTTTTTCTTTAAATGCAAAATTTTTACATATTTTGTTTTACAATTTTGGTATAATTACTGCTCTAAGTGGGTTGCTTCATCAGCTAAATGCAATTTTTAGTGTCTTTATATTCCAGTTAACAAGTAATTGGTTTTTAAATTAATTGACTATTATTTCAATAATCTATTAATCCGATTAATTGTTTCCGCCATAAAAATATTGTACCTTTTCCTAATATGTAACCGCACAGGACCACCTGTAGATTTTAAATACCGTGACCTTGGTTTTACCCACAGTTTCATCGTTTGTATTTTGGTTGCTAAAAATATCTGGAAACAGCCATTTTATTTAGTGTTATCAGTAGGGCTGGGTAAAAAAATCGATTAGTGTTATAGTGTGGCATGACGTTCGTATTCAAATGAGCAGGAAAGATGCACTCAAAATACATCCAGACAGCTGCAAATATAGCTAATAGGTTGAAAAGACAGTGACACGTGGACCAGCAAACACCCTGTAGTTGTTACAGACAACGCTGCAAATATGGTTTGAGCAGTGGAGATAATGCAGCTCATGCATGTCTGCTGTGTCCTGCTGTGTCACGTCTGTTTTCTCGAGTGAGGCTTTTTCACTTTTCACAAACAAGTTTGCACTTTTGAGACAGTTTTGCTCACATCTCAAGTTTAAACTGTCCGACTTAGAAGATGGCACTTTGTTTATAATGACAGGAAAAAAATAAAATACATGTGTTTTAAAACACAGTTGAACCACTTTCATTATTGTAAAAACAGATCGAATCGAAATTAATCGATCTAGAACTGAATTAATCAAAATCAAATCCATTCAGGACTTTGGCGAAAATATCCAGCCCTAGTTATCAGTCAGGAAGTGTGTTTTTACCCTATTTTAGGTGCAGCAACAAGTGGGAGAGGGACGGCCCTACATTACTCTTGGCTCTATACAGCTGTAAAAAAAAAACAAAAAAAAAAACTCTGTGTGATATCATTTGAAGACCATTAAAGCACATAAATTATACAGAATTTTTTATTTTTTTTTTACCATCTTTAACCTTGATCCTGATAGCTGACCCATGCCTCACAGGACAGCTTGTGTCTGACACTGTCCAGTGTGTGTCAATCAGAGTTTTGCTATCTTAATAATAAATAAATAATAAATTTATTAAAATAAGTTAGTTCCTCCATTTGTTTAAAAATGATTTACTGAAGGGGGCGTATCATTGTTACTAATGCTATAGCGTGGCATTGTCTCTGCTAAATAACCACGTTGTTTAAACACGGTGCATGCGGGACACACCTAGTTTCATGTTATTTTCTAAACTTTGCTTCCCCTAATGTTCCTTATCAAAAAAAAACTACCCAAACTATCAACTTTCCTGAAGCATCGGCTAAGACAGAACTAACGTATTTGCATATTTTTATCTGTAGGCTTTCCTAACTCTTGCCAGAGATATCAAAGCAAAGATGGACAAGAAACTGGTAAGGAAACAAGCGACGTAAAGTTTAGCAGTCAGTGTTGTCGTTTTAGTCGTTTTCTAATGAGTACGGACTCTCGTCTGTGTATTTCCAGGAGGGCAACAACCCTCAGAGCAGCAATCAGGGAGTCAAGTTTTCAGAGCAACCCAAGAAGAGCAGCTTCTTCCGCTGCACGCTTCTGTGAGAAGATGGAAGCGTTGGCATCCACCATCGCCTTAACTGCATCCCCCACTGGACAGAACTGGACAGAGCACACTCTGATGACTGTTTATTTCTCCTCCCTTGTCTTCCTTCATGATTTAGCCAATAATTACATAGGGGAAAAAAACACAACCCTCCATTGATTTATCTTCTAGTCTTCCTTTACAACACCTGTGGATTTAGCTGCTGCGGCCTCTGTTACACACTGACAGTTTGACTTGAATGAGAGATTTTACTCACTTTTAAAGGCTGTCTCCTGGTGAGACACTGAAGACGATCAAACCTTTTCCGCCCACATCTCTTGGCTTATATCATTAAAAGTATATTTATTTCATTCCTAAAAGCAAACGGGACCCCAGATTCTGCTACATGTTTGCACTGATGCCTCGATACTAGATATTTTCTTGTTTTTACATCCAGGACTTGTAAAATGCAGCATGTAAATATATATATGTGTATCACTAATTATGAGAAAGTATCTTTTCCTTTTATTTTATCTACTGTGGGTTTTACATTTCCTATCCATCTTGTTTGCTCTTGATTCGTTTGGCTGAGACATTCCACGCTTTTGGCAGACACTTTGATGTGCAATGTGATGTATGTCGCTCCTCCATTTAACTTAGGATCGATGGCCGCGCTCAAACACAAACATCTGGAGGAATCGCAGCAATGATGAAATCATTCTTTTACACTTAGTTTTCTCTACTATATCCATATGTCTGTTCCAATGGGGGAACACGTACTCAACAGTTTCCTGGGCCTTGGATTGGGGCTGTGCTGTAGCAGTATTTATGGAGTGAAACAAGACATAGCACCAAAATGACAAAGTGCCCTTTTTATGTTCTTATTGAGTATGCACTTTTTCTTTTGTTCTTCCTGTTTATACAAAAAAAAAATGTTCTTAACATTTATTGACTGTTCGTTGCAAGTCTTAACTAAAACAAAGTAAAAAATATTCATGCACAAGAGATTTACATAACGGTGTTGGCCCACCTGAAAACACAGGAGGTGGGGCGCCTCACTGTTGGAGGCCAGGGAGTCCATCGAACTCAACATGAAAAGGGTTTATGGTTTAATTTAAGCATCCCTAAACGCCTGCAAACAGCCTCTCTTTTTAGATGCTTGGCGGGGATAAATTGAAATTAGGAACCTGCTTAATGTTATGGGTTTTAAGGATTGAAAATAGGAAATCATTAGAAATCTGAGATCATATCAAACGTCGTTCCATTGAGTCTTAATTACTGACGGTGCTGTAAAAGAGAATCAAGCCAGTTGCTCCATTTTGTAGTTTGGGGTCAGCCTATAGTTCCTGTTCGTGGTTTGGTTTCACTGAAGAACAAGGCACCATTTGATGAGTAAATGAATTCCTCATGAATCTGACAGTGTTCACATATCTTAAACATTCCTAAAGTAGGTTTGGGATTTTCTCAGAGATTATAGATGGACTCCATGTGGAAAACATAAAATAAAAACTTCAGCAATTGTAAATAAGATCTTCAATGATTGTATTGTAGTTTCATAAATCCTGTTGGTCTACACTTTTTGTAGATATATCTACCTTTTGATTTATTAAAAAGATCATTTGAAATTTTTTGTGGTTTTCTGTCATAAATCTGGACTGTGTTTATATCTCATCATTTATATAGTTGTTGCTGTTATTCTTTTTGTCTGCAGTGCCTCGCTCAGATTTCAATAGTTTTCTGTAATTTTTTTCTTTACTCAACTACACTTAAATTGCATATTAGATGATATGCAATACATCAAAATAAATAAACCTGATGCGATTCTTCGTTTTAGGTTATCAGGTTTTCTAAATCATACCTTTAATAAGCTTAAGTCATTTGCGGTGAAGAGATCAAGTAACATGAGATTGATTGAGTATGCTTGTTTTATTGCAATAAATAGCAATTGATTACAGTTATTAACTATTTAGCTTGATTTGGTTCTTGGAGCTCATTGTATACCTGCCTGACAACCACAAGCCTATTTGTTTCTATTGAGATTTTAAGCAATTAACAAAACCAGAAGAATAGTGAGTATAAGGGTCCGTTGTTGTTTTTTTTGTCACAGTTTATGATAATTGTAATTTTAGTTGTTTAAAATGTCCCATAGAAAATACTTTTTTTTGCAGGTCATATCTAACAATGAAGAATGTGTTGATCTAAACCATTCATTTGTAACAGCAGCTGTATTTGTGAGGTTGTTGTAAAGCTAGAAATTAAACCTCAGTCTCTTTTGAAGCTTCCATCATTTCCCCCCCTGGTGTACAGCTCTGTCTATATACCCCCTTTTTAAAGTGGGAAACGTTTGCTTAAAATGATGTACAATTACATTTTTCATCACCCACCACATTTAACATAAAAAAAAAAAAAATAAATAAATAAAAAAGTTAAATTTTGGTGTGATCTGAACGTATCAGCTTCCATTTGATTCTCCCTTAGGGACTTCCTATTGTTTCTTTTTCAGTAATGTCTTTCTGCTACTCTGCCATAAAAGCTATATTTGTGAAGTGGCCTACCAATTCCACTCCTTTTAATAAATTAATACAGCTTCCCTTGAGTTATTTTGGGCTGCCTCTCTAGGTTGTTTACACAGCTGACAGATATGATGGACAACTATACATTGGTTAGTTTAGGATAACGGTTTAATGATAATCTTTGTTTCGAAGCTTGTAACACAATTTCAGTCTTACCCTCTGTGACAGTAACAGTAATGATCTTAAAATATTTCAGTGGTATTCAAAGATCAGCTGCTTCTAAACTGAGCTTAGATTACATTAGGTTCTGTTTTTAAGGACTCCCAGACTAAAAAGGGCTGAACAAAATATATGACACACTTTTCAGATCCTAAAATGTTAGTCAAACTAATAGAAACCCATAACATATTCCTTCCACCACATTGCTACAGTTAATTACACACAGTTTTATGAAAAGTTTCTAGTTGTTACGAAACTATAGAAAGATTCAAGGTAGATATACTTTTGGAAGGTACAGAATGTCATTGGTAACTTTTCATTTAGGATCATACTTAGAGCATACTGTTCCACATGTGCAAGCTTTGGTTCCTCCAAATAGTTAAATACAGCATGTTAAGGTTAACAGATGAGTCTAAATTGCCTTTTGGTCAGATGAAGTGTTTACGTTGTTGACCTTTAGCGTGATGATGGCATGGAGAACTATCCAAGGTTAACCTAGTTCCAGCCAGATCCTACCTCATAACCCTGTAAGGATTAAGCAAGTATAGAATGGAGAGAGGACAATGTCTGTGTTTTGTTTATACTTAAATGAAAGAATTTCTAGTTTTTTTCACTATTATTACAAATTTTAAAAGCTTATTATATATAATTATATATTACAAAAATGCAGCTTTTAAGAGTATCAGCTATATCTATAATTTAAGTAATGTCTCACATTTGTTCTCACTTTGATTTCATACCTTTTGCCACAGAAAGAAGAAGCTAAATGAGGTCGCCCTGATGAACAATAAAAGACTATATGCTTTTTCTAATATATAAAACACTTGATGATTTTTTTTTTAATATACTAAATTAATTATAGATTATTCTGAAATTAATAAGCTATAGATTATTCTGTGCTGCTCAGTGATGCAGTGGGTAGCATGCGGTCCAAAAACATAACTGTTAGGTTAATTGGCTTCTCTAAATTGACCTTAGGTGTGAGTGTGTGTGAATGGTTGTTTGTCATGTTTGTCTCTGGGTTACCCTGCGTTGGAGCAAGCAAGTCAGAAAATGGATGGATAGATAGATTATTCTATAGATTATTCTGAAATTAAATGTTTAAATGTTTGTTTTTCAAATGGTAAATATGGCTAATAAAAATCTGGGGGCTCTGGAGTGGGTTGTCCTAGTGGTGCAATATCTTAGATGGGGGGGGTTCCCATCTGATGGCCCAGGGGGGTTGCCGGACTGGCAGTGGGCAGGTGGTGCTGCTCCAAGCTCTGGTGAGTCTGGAGGCTGCTTATTCTGTTCCCCGCTAATCATCTGCCTCTGTCGGGGTCTATGGCTGCCCCGGGGATGAAGCCTTCTGTCTGTTTGACATGGACTGCTACAGGCCCCTCGTGGCTCATAGGAGCTGTGGACTGCAAACTTTCTGCATACAGCAGAACAAACATTAATAATACTGTTGTTACTGCCTACATTCATCTTGGATTTAATAAAGTTAATCATACTGTTAGGATACCGTTATTGCGTAGCTTAATGTCTTAACGTTTTAACCAAAGTCCTGTTCCTTAATTGTTAATGTTTGTAACACTCCTTAGTTAATTCAAACTCTACAGCTAAACTTTTGTTCATTCTTGGGACAAATTGTGTTAATAGATCAAAGGATCACTGTGTGTGCTTGATAAGAAGTAATGTTTTGCAACACATGACTTTCAGTTTGCAAGTTGTTCTGCTTTACTGCTGAGTGCCACACTTTCATTTCTGTGCTATGCAAATGATCATCAGAATACACTAGCAGGTGGTACCAAGCCATCTGAATGCACACATGCTCAGACATTAAATGGCCCTTTATTCTCACCTCTAACTAAAATAGCACTTCCTTTTTGGTTAGATAGTAGGTTAAATGCAAATATGTGTATAATATAAATTGCAGCTTGTAGTTACAGTATCTTGTTAAACATTATGAACTACCTATGTGAATCCATACTTGCTCTGTTTAAGTCTAGAGATAATGCAAGGCAAACACTATGGGGTTATGATAAAATGACCTGGTCTGTCTGACTTATTGTAATTGCTGTTTCTCTCAAATAATGCCGAAAAGTTGCTCTAGAAATGTTTTTCCTCTAGGTTTGTTGTTTCCTTTTCCTGGAATCATGTGCATTTCTCCTTGTAAAGAGCATAAATGGAGAAGAAACGCTGTCAAATACTTCCTTGGAGTTTAACACTTCTGTTTTACCAACAGCCGCAGAGGGAAACCAGCGTACTCTGACCTTTATTGTGGCAATATTTGAGTCATTCATCATGTGGGAGGAAAAAGCCGCTCTAAAATGTCTCTGTTGATCATCGAGTTATTAAAATGTCAATGAAATTTATGCGATCCCTGGGTTTTTATTGTCTCCAAAAAAGTATTTTCTGTTAATACTTCTGGGGATGGAGAATTGATTAATAGTATGAAATCCAATAACTTTCAAACTGAATCACCTAAACAGGGAGTTTTGTACGTGCAGAGTGTTGTTTATCAGAGTTGTTCATCTTTAAGTTCCAACCAAAAGCTTCTCTAAAATTTTCACAACACTGTTTGTGTCCTCTCTCCTAAAAGTCTAACTATTCACTCGATGGTTGATGGAATAATACATTAAAAACATTCACATAATCTCCTTTATAGCCTTAAATAGATGTTAGTTATGTAAGAACAGCTGGAGCATAGGTCAAAAGATTCAGTTTGTTTTTTACTCATAATCCTAAACACTTGGAGACGGGTGCAACAGTAAGATAACAACACATAGAGGTGATCTGTTTGAACAAGAACCAGACATTTTGATAGACATATTGCCATATTTTTAAATTTTCTCATGTTGCAATCACAAATGTAAGAAATTTTTATTGAGATGTTACGTATTTAGCCATCACAATTAGTAAATGTGTTGATAATGACTAAATATAAAAAACCCTAAAAAGTATGACAAGCATTGGTCATCATCCATGGTTACTCTGATGCCCCTAAATAAAAGACACTGCAGCAATCTGCCCTCAGAGTTTGCTGTTTTTTTTAGAGTGGTTTGGTGTGAAGTTATGCAACAAAATCCATATAAATTAAAAAGTACGTCTCAACCACAGAGACATGAAAGCCACCTTAACTGATGGGCCAAACAAGAAGAGCATTAATCAGCAAAGGGATCACTCATTTGTTCAACATATCTGGCCTTTAAGGGTAAAAGGCAGCCGCATATGTAGCCATAATTCAATTCAGTTTATTTATATAGCACCAATTCACAACACATGTCATCTCAAGGCACTTTACTGAGTCAATTCAACCAGATCATAAAGTCGGATTATTTAAAAGTTGTCTATCTAAGGAAAACCAGCTGATTGAATCGACTCATTGACTCGTAGGCAATCCCTCACACCAAGCATGCTTGTAGCAACACGGGAGATGAAAAAATACTCCCTTTTAATAGGAAGAAACCCTCAGCAGAACCAGGCTCAGTAAGCATGTGTAAAAATCAGATGAGACCAAGACTGAACTGGCAGCTAACGTGCCGAAATGCTATGAGAGGCAAAAATGAACACTGAGCATTGGTTTCATAAGCTATAAAACAAAGTGAAAGGAATGATCCTTCAATGGCAGGGGTGGGCAATTCCAGTTCCTGAGAGCCAGTATCCTGCAACTTTTAGATGTGCCTTCGATCGACCTGAATCAAGTAATTAGATAATTGAGAGGACTCAGGAGGAACTGACATACAGAGGAGTTAACTCCACCATTTGATTCAGGTGTGTTGGATCAAGGATGGATCTAAATGTTGCATGAACAGGAATTCCTCACCCCTGATCTATGGGGATGCTTTGCTTTAGCAGGTACAGAGAAAGTTCTTTGTGAGACTCCTCGAGGAAAACCTGTTAGAAGCCACAAAAAACTTAGACTGGATCACGTCTCAGTGCAAGAAACCATAGTTCTACAAATCATTGACTCAAGGGAATTGACTGTGACTCAAAACTTCTTAATTTTTTTGTTTTTTATTTATTTTTTTTGTTACTTTATTTTTTTTTAACAAAAAAATAAACTTGGTTCATAATTTGCATACACTGCCAGATTATCCACTACGTATGCATCTAGTTGTGCTCATAGCATGAAAAATAACCAAAATGCAAAACACCGTAATCTATTTTCCACATGTTTAACTCTGAAGCTGCTGCTGCCACTGGAGAACTTTGCCCCTCCCCTGTGCAGGTGTTATCAGGTAGTTGCACTCTGCAGTTTCATTTCACTGTAAAGCTGGCAGAAGGTAAGTCATATTTGCTTTAAACTAGCGAAAGAGCTGAATGTCTATAATATGATATTCATTCTAAAAATCCAGTTAAATTTTAAGATGATTCATCAGATATCAAAGTGATATGAGGTGTAGCAGGAAAAGCAGTTAATCACGACTCTCCTCTTAAATCTTTTGCCTGTAAAACTGTTCTCTTATATAAAAGCAGCTCGTTTAAGGAGGTTTGCATGAATATAGATGTGAAATTCTTCTTTTTTTGTGAAATTACATTTATAGTACACAACAAAAGATTTAAATTGAGTCAGTGAGCAGTGCAATTCATTTGCAAGCCCACAATGATAGAATTGAATGTTATTTTTATTTTGTCAGGATGATGGAGCAGAGTCAGCTGACACATGGCCGACAGGATCCTTTTGTCTGGTTCACAGAGTCCCAGATCCAGTCTGTGTTCAGGAACGGCTCGGTCCCAGATTGGTTTCATGGGATCATCACAAGGAAGTATGTTTTCTTTTGAATCCATTACCATCTGCCAGCTGAGGCGTATAACAGAGCAATGTATACTAGATAGCCACCTGTTTACAAACCTTGCACAATTATGATTTTTAATAATTATCGAAAATGTATCATATATTAAGATATTCCAATAAGAACTAAATGTAATGAAACAGTGATAAAGCAAACAATGCAAAAATCAAGTGTTGACTCCTCACCATTTACAGAGGAGGAAACAACTAAGAAGCAATGCAGTACAAATATATTCACCACAGCTTTTTTACATTTGGTCACTTTAAGACTACAGCTTCATACTGCGGGTTTAAAAACACTCCTCACTGTGAAACATGGTGGCGGCCACATTATGGTAGGGGGTTGCTGTCTTTGGCAGGATCATGGATCGTTGTTGATTTAGTTTTTCCAATTGCAATAAATGTACAAATCGATCTTTTTACTCACACTTTACAGTTATGCACCGCTATGCAATGCATTAGTCTATCACATTCAGTGCAGTCCGACTAAACACACTCACGATGGTAGATGGGATGTCACAAAATGTGAAAAAAATGTCTTGCCTTTTTGTGTGGCACTCTTTTGAAGTTTAATGCTGATGCGAAGTTTCTTCAGCTGCAGAATTACACAAGTACTTGTCATCTGGTCGTCTTAAAGCTAAACTCCCAAACTGGAGGATCCGCTTAAAATATAGCAGACATCATCATAATCAGACAGATGCAGAACTGCACACAGAATGTTCCACTTCTCTGTCCTGGTCATGCTTGTTCTTTCTAAGTTAGTTCCTTTCATTGTTCTGTTCCCTTTGCAGACCAATAGTGCATATAGCATACAAGTGATTGTTCATGATTGTTTGCAAAATGACTAAAAGGCAACTGTTGGCTGACCTAATAAATTATATCAACAATACTATCATTCACCATGGCTTTAATCTAATATTTACTCTAACCTTACCTTCATTTGTGCTACATATTAGTATTATTTCCCACTTAACAGATGTGTCCGCACCCAATTTACATAACAGAAAATAGGTTAAATATAGGCAGAGTCAAGGGTGTTATATTTTAGATTATTGTCAAAACTCCTGGATGACTGTGATCCTAAAACAATTGCATCAAATCAAACACTGTTAGTTCTCTTCATATAATTATGCAATGTGAGAATATGTGGCTTTGATTTTGCTAAAGTCTTCTGCTCTGTGACTATTGATAGGTTCATATTGAAAATGTCATGGTGCTGATGTTCAAAATACAACTCCAGTTTAGATTTTTTTTGTGTGAAAGAGGCCTTTGTCTCTGCTGATTTGTATAGGATAGCAGAGGAACTGCTAATGTTCAAGCCGCCTGGCTACTTCCTCATCAGAGTCAGCGAGAGCCGAATTGGCTACACCCTCTCATTCTGGTATGTGTCTGCAATATCAAACAGCTTTCCTGTACCATTTACACCAGTGTGTCAAAGTCCTCCAATTTTTTATTGGTCCACCTCAGTACGGATGAACGTTGCAGACATTTCATGATTGATGTACTGGAAGACGGCCAATACATCATAGTAGGGGAGAACAGGAAGCACAGGAGTCTGCAGGACCTGGTGGAGTATCACCGTAGGACTCCCATCATGCCTTTCAATCAGGTGCTCACAGTTGCTTGTGGACAGGTGAGGACATGAACTACCTGTTCTTCTTGATACAGACTCAGATGCTGAAATTTATAAGATTTGCATAATACTGCAAATTATTAAATAAAAATATTAGCAATGGTGTGTAGTTTGAATTAAGTCCAAAACTGAATGAACACCTGCTATGCCTCTTCTCATTCTAGTCCCCAGCCAGCCGTGCAGACTATGCAGAACTGTTGTTTTCCCCAAGAGCCCGAAGCTATACCACCAGTGTGATACCTAACAACCTCCAACAACCCACTATAAGTTACCCAAAACCAGAGATGCCACCTGCCCTTCCACATCGACCCGACAACCTAAGGAACTCTGTTATTGTCCAAAGTAGCCAACCAAAGAGGCTCTACCCTTGTTTGGGGGAAGATCTCAAACACGTCACCGTTCCTTCTCCAGCTTCGGTAAAGTGACAGTAACATTGCTTTTTAGTTGTGGCTAAATGTTAACTTAGAGGAGGCATAAATGATTCCTAACTTTTTGAAGTGCTTTTACTGGAAACAAAACCTTGCTTCATACATTCTCTAGACATGAACAGCTTCAAGAGCAGTGCTAACATTTTGGAGAAGAGACAAAAGTTTTTTTCTTTAATGTTTTCTATACATCAGAGAATCAAGAGATTTTAAACTGGTCTTAAAAAATATTTGGAAGTAACATTTCACAAAACAATATACCTCCAAAAGTTGTAAAAGACAAGTTGGTTCACAGCTAACCCATGATTTTTAAAACCCTTTTTTTTTTCCTTCAATTTTTACTCTACTGTGAAATGGAGACACCACTGGGTGAGAAATTGAAACATATTTGGACAGTGGGCTGGTGCTAGCATTGCTGCCTAATCTGGGTTTGAATCGCCGGTTTGGCCTTTCTTTCTGAACTTAGGATGTTCTCATTTTACATGCAGGTACTCTGACCTCCTTCCACCATCCAAAATTACACACTAATAGTTAAACAGTCACTCTAAATTGGTGTGAGTCTGTGTCTAGCGGTCAAGTGAAGTTGCAACTAAGGACCTGGTGACTTATTACAATAAGTCACCAGGTCCTGGTGGTTTCAGCCCCAGAGTCCTGAATGCATGTGCAGAGCAGCTCTGTGGGATTCTGCAGCACCTCTTCAATCTTAGCCTGACCCTAGAAACAGTTCCAGTGATGTGGTGGAGCTACTTCTTCACTCCAGTGCCAAAGGTGACTCCGCCAACAGTCCTCAGTGACTATAGACCTGCTGTCCTGACATTCCACATCTTGAACGTCCTAGAGAGACTTCTGTTGGTTTGCCTCAGCAAACAAATTAGCAGCTATCAGGATCTCCTGCAGTTTGCCTATCGCCATACAGTTGGAGTTGACGTCCTTTGATTTATCCAGTGCAAACACAATTCAGCCTGGCTTAATTTGTGAGAAACTTCAGCAGACTCAGTTAGAGGCACCAACAATCACCTGGATCAGAGACTACCTGACAAGCAGACCACGGTTTGTTAGACTGAATGGTCAGCTGTCTATCATGTACTCATCAGCACTGGAGCACCACAGGGGACGGTACTCTCTCCATTCCTTTTCACTCTTAACCCGTCTGACTTCCACTACCAGACAGGAAGTCTGCTATCTGCAGAAATACTCAGATGACTCTGCAATCATTGGGTGCATCAAAGATGGACAAAAAGTTGAGTATAGCGAGCTGGTCCACACCTGTACCTCTTTGTGGCATGGTGTGGAAACAATCACCTGATCCTTAATGTCAACAAAACAATGGAGATGTTTTTAGATTTCAGACGAAACAGGAACATGTTGCATCGTGTTCACATCATGGGGGAAGAAGTGTAGGTGGTTGAGGAATATAAATAACTTGGTGTTCACCCAGACAACAAACTAGAGTGGAGACACAACTGTGATGCCATCTACAAAACAGACAGAAGAGATTGCATTTCTCAATGAACCTTAGGTCCTTCAGTGTTTGCAGAAGGATGCTACATATGGTCTATAAATCTGTTGTGGAGAGTGTGATCTCTTATTCCATCCTCTTCTGGGGTAACAGTATTAGAGCTAATGACTTATAAAATTCAACAAGCTAATTAAGAAAGACTGCTCTGTTCAAGGAACTGCTCTAGAACCCCTGGAGATTATTTCACTAAGAAGAATTCTTCATACAGTGAAGAAAATTATGGACAACAGTGAGCAACCCTCCTCTTCAGCAGATGTACAACAAAAGTGTTTTTATAAGGAGGCTTCTCCAGATTCGATGCTAGACAAAGGGACACAGGAGATCCTTCCTGCCTACAGTTATCAACACCTATAACAGCTCACTGAAAAACTGCCATGGATTAACACAACATTTGTTTACCTTTGGGATCAATAAAGCATTTTGAATTGCATAGAGTTTGCACATATGCCAATGTGTTTCTGTCACCTCTGATGAAGAGGCAGGCAGCTTTCCCCATCTCCTGTTTATTGACATCTGGAGATATAGGCAGGAGCTAGTATGTTTAAATATTGGTGCTTTCCAACTTGTCTGTGTTCCTTTCAAAAATTAAAACAGCCAAATTGCACATTTTATCCACTGTTACATTTTTCTGCTGTGAAACAAACAAAGGTATCAAAAAACGCCACCTAAAACCTGAGCCTCTTGTGTAACATAATAATATTTGAATGCAAAAACATGGCTTAAAACAAATCTCTATAACAGCTCTAATTAAACAGAATTTTTTTAACAGGCACTCCTGAAACCTTAGGAAAGTCTGCCCTGAGGTATCCTGTTAAAATACCTTTGTAAGATCAACAAGTAATGCAGTGTAAAGGATAGTGACTTATTAATTTGGAGTATTTATTGATTGAAGTTAAAAAAAAAAAACCATCAGATTGTGAGAACTGATACTAATATTCTGTAATAACTGGTAAATACATATTGTTAACGTCATTTCATAAATAAAAGGGGTCCTTCTGTTGTTCTGTGTATTTGAAAAGGTTGCTTTTGCCTCCTTTTATATTCTTATGCCATATTTGTCATTGGCTTTTATTAGATGTTATTTTTATTTGATAGAGATATTAAAGGTAACTCAAACTGTTTTTGTAAGGAAAATGCAATGCTTAATTTCAATTTGAATTGAGGTGGATTGATGGTTATATCTGCTTAAATCTGCTATTGTGTAGTCATAATTTTTTGCTACTAGATAATACTTTTTTCTAACACATGCCATTATTGTTTCAGAGACATGAGATCCTGAAATATAATGTTTTATGCTTGTACTCCACAGCCTGTGCCAAAGATAAGGGATAGATTTACAGCTGAAAGCTCTCCGTTGAAACAGCCTCCTGAAGTCCCTTTGAGGAATCATGTCACCCAGGTTCAGAACCCGGCCTGCACCAGAACGACCATGGGGTCCGAGATCCCCTCTACGCCCTCAGCGTCAGAGAGAAAACTCACCGCCAATGTGAATCCAGTAAAGTTCCAGGAGCTGAGGCCATTAGTGGTCACAAACCTAAAAAACCTCAAGAAGATCTTCCAGAAAAAGATGAGCAACCCACAGGAAAACGTGTATGAAGAGATAACTAAAGTACCAGGCGACAGCAGCGAAGTGGAGGAGAATGAATACCAGGAAGTCACAGGGGATTTCACATGTAGTGGCCCTCCAAACTATCACAGAGATGAGGGACTAAACAATCCAAATTTACCCCAGGAATACAGATCACCTCCACCCTTTGCTCCAGGCTACTGACACAACTTAAAGCTCCCCTAATGGCTATGTTGGTATTGCACTGTAACCCTATTATTAAGGAAGGAGAGGCCAATAGATCAATAAATGTTGATGTAAAAGTTTGTGATATGCTGAAAAAGATTACATTGAATATCAATTCAGCAAATGCGTCAGATAGAACAGATTGTACGTATTCTATTAGGAGAAACAGGCTTAAAACACATCATCCCTTTAGTCCTTTTGAATGCATGAAATATTTGGCTTGCATTGTGTTAAGCATGCAAATGCATTCATTTTTCTGAAGATGTTCACAAAGAAGCTAAACCGGGCAGTTAGCTCTGCTTAGTTGAGATATGAAACAACTTTCTGAAGACAAAACTGAAAGATTAACATCATCCTCATAAAACTGATAAACCAAACAAAACTCCAATCCAGAAATTATTATTGTGTGCCTCCTAGATAGAATCAGTATAGCTGCTGCTTCTATTTTTTTCTTAACTAACCAATAAAGAAGTAAAGCAACATATGTAAATAATGCTATAGCTGCCATTTCTATTGCTTAGGCTTTAAAATTTTCCAGAAATGTTTTAAACTTCAGTGAAGTAACAAAATCCCAGCAATAGAAGCTTGTACGGACCTTATATTATTGAGTACTAAAGATTTATGAGTTATGTATTAATAGCATCTGTTATTAAGATTATGTAATACGGCTGGAAGAAAGAAAATAAATACTGTTCATACTGGTTTTACAGTCATAAATATAAGTTGCTGCAAACAGTTTTCATTGAGACTATCTGTATGTACCTTTGCTATTTACACAGTAACATTTGATTAATGCTCACTTTGACGCATTGACATAATATGTTTGCATTCATTTGTGCTTTTGATATATAGTTGCAGTGTTGTTAAATTGCACTAATAAATTAATTTAAATATGCACTTTGTTGTATTTGCAAAAAAACGTGCAGTTTGCACTAAACACACCAAACCTTTCAGTAAACTGATCCCTACTAGAACCTTGGATCTGGTAGATAACATTTGTCAAGACAGATTGGGGCCATGAATTCCAGACTAATAGGAAACACACGGTCATCATCTAGCTGGAGAAAAGCTCATTCTAAAGATAGACTTTAAAAAAACAAAGTCATTATATAGAAGTGTTTTTTTTTTCTTCTCTCATGGACATAAAAATGTATATACCGTCTGTGTAGCTTTAAACCTTTAGAATTAAAAAAATTCAATTGGAAAAATAAAAAAAAAAGCAAAAACAAAGACACCGTAAATTTATTTGAATAAAGAAATTATTTTATTCAAAAATAATAGCTAATTTATGCATTCAGCAATTTGAATTTGTTTTGTTTTATAACCTTTATGTAAGGAAATAGGTCCCACTGGAACACACGTCTAATTTTCAAAAGAGAATCTTTTTGGCCATCACATATTTCTACTGTTCTGTTAATATTAAACATATGGGGAGGCATGAACTTGTGACTAAATGTTTTATCTTTGCTTTGGTTGTAAAGAAGAAAATCGAAGATCCGGCTGATGCCACCAGTAAACTATGCTGCTGCTAGGACGTCACGCCATTGGAGCAAAGACAAGCACTCATTTTGCATGGATTACAGATTACCAAATTTTTTGTAATGAAAGATGACCTTACATTTGTATCAATGTTTTACATATGAAATAATTTGAAATGTCAATAAGATTTAATATAACTTAATGAATTAGAAAAACAAAAATAAGGCTTAAAAGCTGATGTAAATACTTAAATGATCATATGTTCAATGCGTTATATGCAGGTTTAATTATTGATGAACACATATATGTGTTTCACTTATGCTTCTTCTCTTATCGTTAACCTATAACATAGGAAGCATAGTGACTTTTTTCTATTTTTAAAGTGTGTTGCTTTTGGTTCCCATGAGTTTTAATTCACCCTATAAGATACAATTTAATGTCACAAACTCTGACACTGTACTGTAACTTCATTTTTTTATGCCTAGTGACACATCTGATCAAACTTGGCTGCAAATAAATGCTGTCCTAAGAACGTGACTAGACTAATGTCTTTACCATTTATCCACTGCTTTCAATGAAACTTAAATGAGGGTCAAGCAAAAAACTAGTAATTAAGGTAATATAATTGATGCCTTTATTGTAAGCCATTAAATTTAAGAAAGTAATAAAAAAAAACAGTGCAACAATTAGGCCTTGAAAATGTACAACACTGAGAAAATGTGTTTTTAATTATAAAAGCCATCCATCCATCCATCCATTATCTGACACGCTTGTCCCGAGTGGGGTCGTGAGGGGTGCTGGTGCCTATCTCCAGCAGTCAATTGGCGAGAGGTGGGGTACACCCTGAGACGGGTCGCCAGTCCATCGCAGGGCAGCACAGAGACAAACAACCATTCGCACACACACCTAAGGAGAATCTAGACAAGTCAATTAACCAAACAGTCATGTTTTTGGACTGTGGGAGGAAGCCGGAGTACCCGGAGAGAGCCCACGCATGCTCAGGGAGAACATGCAAACTCCATGCAGAAAGACCCCGGGCCGGGAATTGATCCCAGAACCTTCTTGCTGCCAGGCAGCAGTGCTACCCAGTGCTCCACTGAGCAGCCTTATAAAAGCCTAATTATTCATATATACTACTCAAGGCGTGGGTGCAGGAAAAGCTGTAAATATCTAAGCATGCCAATAAAAAGAAAGTTAGATTAGTATTATGTAATAAACACTGTTTCATTGCCTGATTGATCTTCGCAAACTTTTTTTTCACAAGGTAATAATAATGATAAAATTGTTGTAGATATGAATACTGACATTTCTGATAATAGATCCTTTTTCTGCAACGTTTTAAAACAGTTTTGTTTTGTTTTTTTGGTAGAGTGGTCTTGTCTTATCCAGTCCGGTGCTCCTGCCTGATGAAAACTATACTTATGTCAGTGATGCTTGGCACACAATATCCTGGCTTCACCACTGTCTGTCTACATCTGGGGCTCACGCCTCCATTGTTGATATGCTGATTGAATATAATTTGGCAACATTTGATCATATGCCAATTCTTATTCGTTGTAATCTGGAAATAATTCCTAACTGACACCAGTAAGTACTCTAGTAAGTGGAGAGAGTCTGGACTGGTCTGAACTAAGCTGGGGAGATTTTCCTAAATAAATCCAAATAACTGATCAGTGTCTCAAGGATATAAAGCTTCCTAGTAACGCCATATTGCATTGTGATGTAAATTGCACGGACCCAGAGCATGGTATACAATTGTGGAAATTATATGACTCTATTTTAAATGCAATCCGTATGTATAGTAAACCTTTATGTAATAATAATAACCATAGTGGTAAACCAGGATGGGATTTGTTTGTAGAAGTGCCACATGCTGAAGCTGGACAGGGCTTTAAGGCCTGGGCTGTGTCAATACAAAATTTAGGTATACTCTTGGATATATAAAGAGGAATAAAAAAATATTAAGGGTTGACCCCTTGGTTTCAAAATAGCTAACTAGCAGGATTGGAAGAGGTAAGGATTAAATAGCTGCTGAACATTTCTTCTTTGCTCCATCAATGCTGTGGCTCTGATAATATAAGTCAGCTTTGGCAGAAATGTTATGATGAATTGTTTAATTGCGTCAAAAGCAATGTAAGTTCTACTAAGGCCATAAAAAGTGACACGGGAGTGATAGTAACACCACAAAGGATCTTGGATGCTGTTTTTAAAAGCTAAAGAAAGGTAAGTCCTATGGGTCAGACAAAGTAGCATCTGAACAGGTACAAATAACCTATACTAGGCTGTAGCTCTACTGGCTATCTTCTTTACAGGGTTTTTGATTCCTAGCATTTAGCCAGAATTCCCAATATTGCATTTGATTATGTTATACAAGGAAAAAGCATTTAAACTCAGTGATATTAATAACTATCAGCCCATAGCCTTGGTCGGCTCCTTATCCAAGGTACTTGAAATGATCATTTCAGACCGACTTAAGCCATATCTTAGCACTACATATAATAAGTTTGGATTCAAGGAACAACATGGCACTGACACATATATTTGCAATAAAGAAAATTCTTGACAAATATCACAATCAGAATCCTTCTGTTTTTCTGTGTTTTCTGGATGCATTCAAAGCCTTTGATCAACATGTATTTCACTGTAAGTCATTCAAGGAATTTTTAGGGCGAGGTGTAGCTGGATATTTAGTTAGGATACTTATACTCTTTACTCCTGTCAGACCATGCAGGTGAGGTGGGGTGACTCTGCCTCAGACTCTATTAGGGTCAGTAATGGGGTTTATCAAGGTCCCCCTCTGCTTTGTAATGTTTACACTCATGGCCTATCTGTACAGCTCAGCAGGTGTAGAACTGCATGCATTATTGGTGACTATTTATGTAACCATCTGATGCATGCAGATGACCTGATCCTCCTCTGTCCATACAGTGCAGGCCTTTAGCAGCCTCTCAATACCTGTTCCAAGTATGGTCTTGAATTTGACATTAGGTTCAATAATACCGAAAGTAAAATCATGATTGTGAAAAATAACAATGATAAAAAAAAAACAACAAAAAAACTTCTTTCCTGATTTCCATTTATGTGGACAGGCTCTTCCAGATACTGATGAGTTTAAGTATCCTGGACATTTTGTTGCAAGTGATTTCTCAGATGATGGAGATATGCAGGGGCTGTGCTGTTAATTATACGACAGGCTAATGTGCTGGCCTGTAAGATTAACATGTGCTCAGTAAATGTTAATACCATGCTGTTTTTGCTTTCCCCTGCAGAGCATACTGCCCACTTGTGGTACAAGTACAAAAAGAGTAGCCTGCAGAAACTGCCTGCCTACAATGATTCTATCAGAATACTACTGAAGGTCCCAGGGCACAGTAGTGTAAGGGAAATGTTTGTGAACTGTGGTGAACACTACTGCCCTGCAGTCATATGGACTTTTATTTATACATTTATGTGCAGGGCTGTGAGCAGTCCTAACTCAATCATACAAGCCCATTAAAGCTCTGTTAGATTTACCTTTTAAATGTGGCGCCATTCTGCTTTTATATTCTGCTCTATTTTTAAATATATTCATTATTATTATAATTATTATAATTATTATTATTATTAGTAGTAGTAGTAGTAGTATTAGTAGTAGTATTTACTAATTCTCTCTATGGACCTAATTTCCAAAGTCATTAATAAAGTTTTAATTAAAAAAAAAAAGAAGAAAAATTACTGATCTAATGAACTAATCTTAATCTGGGATTGGCGGCTCTGTTCCTTCAAACTGTAATAAATTGCACTATTTCAGACGAATTTAGCCATTAAGAAGGTGTGTGTAGACCAGTTGCGTTTAAGGTCAGTCATCACTCCTCTGACGCAGAGTCCAATGGGCTAGACCTAGCTATTTAGCACCGCCACCCCTAGTTGTCTTGGTGAATGAAACAATCATACGCTTCGCTCGAAGGACAACATTACGTCACCTGGAAAGACGTTGATTTTTGGATTCGGGATCAGCCTGCGGTTAACTCACGGAAGTTGAGTCTCCGTTGAAAACGCTTTTTTTTGTAAAACTTTTTGGAAACATTTAGTTTAAACTTCTTTACCCTGTGTTGTTTTAACACACGCTAAACGATGTCGTTTGTTCCAGGTCAACCAGTGACTGCTATTGTGGTAAGATTGAGAGATATGCCGTTTTTTCAATGAACTAGACTCTATTGTTCATCCTTTGACTAACATTCCCGGTAGGGTTACTAGCTAAATATGTTTAACTAAAATTACTTTAACTAACGTCAAATACTTGTATTTACTAGCAATATTTTCTTTGTTTAGCGATAGTGAGAACATTTGTTTCAGTGCATTCTATGCACAGTGCATTCATGTCTGGTTGAAAATCCAGCTTTAGCCATATAACTATTATTAATAAATACTCTGAAGTTAGTATTTTTAAAAACGATTTTACTTGATTTGTACTTTTGGATACCATGGACATTGCTTATCAGGGGCGTCACCCCCTAGGTGTGTGATTTCTTCTTAGTCCGTGAACGCAACACCAAAGTTCTAACTACCGTTTTCTTTTTTTCTTATTATGGCTCTAATTTGCAATAGTTCAGCACAAACAGTGGTTAGCTATGGTAGTTAGGACTTTTATTTTCATCTCTAGAGAAGATGTTGCTTGTCTACTTACCGTTGATCAAAATCATGTGAAGAAAGAGAGACAACATTACTGCCTTTTATATCCTAATTTTTAATTATGTTTTTTTAATTAATTCATTCATTTTCAAGATTGCACATGCTTTACAGGATTATTCTAAACTATCCTCTATTCATATTATGAGGATGGAGCTACAAGAGTGTCTTTTTGTTTTATTCAAGATTATAATTTTGGTTGAAGACAAGTTGTTTTTCACTGAAATCTATTAAAGGCTTTTAGTCTGTTATCTTTATTCTCCTGTATACTGTCTGTTCTTTTCTGATTTCATCTCAGTGTTTTTCTGTAGGCCTTTCAGTCTGAGATCTTTTCTGTGTTCATTTTTGCTGCTTAACAATACTATATTAATCTATTTTAATTTTCTAAAACGCTCGACCTTAGATTCATTTGTGCAGGTTCAATTGAATCTTCTGCAGAGTTTATGAAAACTTGATATGTCTACTTTTATGGTGCCTGAACAGAAACAGGTTTTTACCCTGGCATATCTTCCTAGCAGCCAGATCCAAGTAGGCTTTTTATGATCAGTATGAAGACTTTTTAACACAACTACGCTACCTACTGCTGTAGTTTTATACATTTTTTTTTTTAAAGATTACCATCCTACAGAAGAGGATTAGGGCCACTTAAAAAAAAAAAAAAAGTTAACCGAATTTTTAATTCAAATTCAGTATTATATGACAAAAAAGTCAGAATTCTGACATTTTTTCTCTGAATTCTGACTTTTTTTTCTCTGAATTCTGACTCTTTTTTTTCTCAGAATACTCACTTTTTTTTTCTGAGAATACTTACTTTTTTCTCAGAATTCTGTTTTCTGACAGCTAATGAAACGTATTGGCATCAAGCTGTAGCCATGTCTTAGCTCTCTTGTTTTAGTCACCTTCTGCTCTTCCATTAATGAAGTAGCATCACCGGGGACACCTCTGGCATATAAAAAGTTACCTAATTGTGTCAATTTCCACCAATGTCTTACTGGCCCTCCCAAACCCAAATATTAGTTAGTGAAGCTGAGTGCTCCTACATCTCTTCCTTCATGGTGCCCATCTACATTAACATAAACAATTCTGAGATTAAAGTCAGAATTCTGAGGGGAAAAAAATCAGAATTCTGAGAAATAAGTTGAAATTCTGACTTTTTTCCCATATTAAACTGAAAAATTATTTGAAAATCAGTCTACTTTTTTATTTTATTTTTTCCAGTGTCCCTAATCTTCTTTCATACCATCCTGCTCATTGTGCAGGTTTGGCAGATAAACTTGGGTAACTGTTTGTCACAGTGCCAGCGGCGTAGGAAGCGGGGGGGACGGGGGGGACATGTCCCCCCCAATATAAAAGCCAGATATATAAAAACAAGAAGGTCTAACTAAAAAAATAACCAGAATATATGTTTAGAGTAAAGATTTACTACTTGTACACAAGCACACAATTTCAAATCTGCTGAGCTTGCTGTGCAAGAAAATGTAAANACGAAAATTAGAATCATGATGCATCATCATGACGATTATTTTGCACACCCCTAATAATATGACAAAGTTCAGAATTCTGACACCTTTTTTCTCAGAATTCTGACACCTTTTTTCTCAGAATTCTGACACCTTTTTTCTCAGAATTCTGACACCTTTTTTCTCAGCATTCTGTAATCTCAGAATTCTTTAATCTCAGAATTCTTTAATCTCAGCATTCTGTGATCTTAGAATTCTGACTTTTTTCCCCCTCAGAATTCTGACTTTTTTCTCAGAATTCTGACTGTTTTCTGAAAGCTAACAAACATGTTAGCATCAAGCTGTAGCCATGTCTTAGCTCTCTTTTTTTAATCACCTTCTGCTCTTCCATTAATAAGGTAGCATCACCGGGGACCCCTCTTCCTTCATGGTGTCCATCTACATTAAACAATTCTGAGAAAAAAGTCAGAATTCTTCTTTTTTTTCCATATTAAACTGAAAAATAGTTTAAAAATCAGTCAACTTTTCTTTTATTATTTCAGTGTCCCAAATCCTCTTCCGTACCATCCTGCTCATTGTGCAGGTTTGGCAGATAAACTTGGGTAATTGTTTGTCACAGTGCTAATTGTTTGTGGAGTAGCTGTTTTCTTGACAACATATCAAGCTTTTAAAGTCCAACAGCAATGCCTTTGATTACAAATCAAGGTTTCTGTTGAAGTGTTGCAGTTAGAAACAAAGATATATGTCATATCATATTTGATAGTCCTGGATTTCCAGTTCAGATATCCTAGATTCTGCATCAACTTAAACTCCCTATTTGTTTGCAAGGCTTTAAAAAGGAGGACTTCTCAAGCTGGAAATCTTTACTCATTTGGCTGACTGACATCTCCAATGAAGTCATCTGTAGACTTCATTGTATTAGAGACTCGGTGGTTATTCATCATTGAACACACAGCCTGTCTTTGTGTTTGAGGAGCTCTGGAGTCGGACTCATCCATCCATCTGTTTGCAAATGATTGCGGCTGTTCAAGTACAGGCTTGCGTATTAACGTTTCAATCTTTATGGATTAAACTTAGCTTGAAACCGGCTTTGCTGTTATTTTAGTATTGAACTACACAATGATACAACTGGGCAACATTGACAGACCCCTCTGGAAGATTTTATATGCGTGGATTAGTTCCCTCTAAACTAATGTTTTAATCTATATATCATTTTGGACACTTTTTTTTTTTTTTCCTAACAGCAAAGAATTGAGATCCAGAAACTGCGGCAAGGAGAAAATCTGATCCTAGGCTTCAGCATTGGAGGCGGTATTGACCAAGACCCCGGGCAGAACCCGTTCTCTGAGGACAAGTCGGATAAGGTCAGAAAACCGGCAGAAAGAAAAACATTTAAACATTCAGTTTCCTATAACTGGTCTTCAACTTTCAGTTGGATTAAAATGTATTTTCTTTTATGTGACAGAGAAAAGGGAAGGCAATAAACAATCTTTAATTATTAACTTGGCATAATCTGATGAACTGTAAATGAAAACAGGTCTGAAAGGAAAATTGATGGCTTCGTGTGAAAACATGCCAGATTCAAATATGTGAGTAATGGAGAGAAATACTGCAGGTTTACACAGAGCCATCTACTATCTGATTATTGCATGATCCTTCAAAGCTGCAGGGAAATTTGGGAAATATACAATGTGCTTCTGCTTATTCTGTTACAGATGAATTAAATCCAAAATGTATTACCTGTATTTATTGATATTTATTTTATGGTGCTTAGGCATAAGGAAATCAAATATAAAACATGATCTGCCTTTATTCAATGCTGAAAAGTAACATTGTTTCACTGGTTCGTAAAGTTGTGTTTGGGAAGCCACTTTATGTGGTGATTGGACGACTTCATGTCCAGTAGCATGAATCATAGTGATAGCATTATGTTTCTGCTACATAAAGAGAAGAGATTAATAAGGTGCTCACAATTTTTAAAAGAGATCTATTGTGCTTTTGAAGCCGTCTGTGTTGTAATTGCGCTCGTTTAACAGATTTAGTGGAAATGCTCCACCAGATGTCTGGAATGGTCTGAGAGATTTTAGGGTTGGGCGATAAAACATAACAGTAAAAATCATGATAGACATCTGATCAATATTAGAGTCTCATCTATCCAGTTTTTTTTATTTTATCTAATCCGATACTGATACCTGGGTAGAGCGTATCAGCAGATATTTGATAACGATCAGATTCAACTGTTGAATGAATTAACAACATATCTTGCCATTTGAGTTGAGGCTTTAGCCATGAGGTCAACATTGTTAAAAAAAAATGAACACAGATATAAATAGAAGTTACATTATTTATTAGAACAGAATAGAAAATCCCTTATAGTCCCACAATGGGGAAATTGTAGTGTCACAGTAGCAAAAGGTTATAGTAGAATGGTCACAAAAATGTTGACCTTAAAAAGGGTATAAGAATAACCGAATAAGTGACAAAGTAAAAAAAATTCAAAAACAAAAAAAAAAATAGCTAAAATAGTGTACAGTATAGTGTTTTTACTATATAAATACTGTGCATCTGGAGAAAAATCAATATACAGCTGTGAATTTTACAGTAGTGGATATATGAAAATAGTAGCAACACCAGAGGTGTGCAAAACAATGACAGCAGGTTATATAACTGACATAAACTGCAAAAATCAGCATAATGGTAAGAATTTATTGAGGTTGTTGGGAACAGTGATGGTTATAAAGTGTCACAGCTGCTGGGAGGAAGGATCTGTGATAATGCTCCCTGGTGCATTTAGGGTACAGCAGTCTGTCACTGAAGGAGCTTTCCAGATCGGCTTCATGCATGGGGTGGGAGACATTATCTAACAGACATGTTATTTAAATACTATTTATAAATAAGCACCAAAAAGAAAGAAATAACAATTCCATGTAAAGTGTGCTGGATTGGATCTCAGATATAAAATCACTGACATCTGATCCAGCTATTGGATTGGTGCATCTCTAATAAATATCAACTTAAATTCAGGCTTTTTCTCCTCTGGTTGTTTTTTTTCAAATACATGAATCAACATCTACAAAAAGACATCATCAATATTTATCAATATTGCTTGATATTCAGGGCCTGATATTTTTACACATTTTTCAGCCACGTGGAAACTGAATTTGTCACTCTTGTGAACTGCAGGGGAAAGCATTAAAGTATTCTTTCAGCCAGCTCACCAGAAGTCCACAGTAAAGTAGGGGATCTGGCCCTGCTCTTAGCTTTATCTTACTTTAACAGTTTTACCCAGTTCATTTTGAAGGGAAAAAGTAGGACGTAAAAGTTTTAGATAAGCAATGGCTTCTACGCTTCAGTGGCCTGAAAAACGAGCTGACATGAGCTGCTCCAGTTATTATTGCATTTAAAGTTGACTAGGGCTACAACTAACGATTTGTAAATCGATTAATGTGTTGATTATTTTTCAATAAATTACAATTGAAATTAAACCTGGTAAAACTCAAACTTTTCCTCTTTTGGAGTCCTAGATAGAGCATATTGACATATGAATTATTTTAAATGTTAAATGCAAAATGTTTATATAATTACAATTTTGGTTTAATTACTGTTCTAAGTAGGTTGTGCTGTCAGGTGAAATCTTGTTTTAGAATCTCTATACTCCAGTTGGCGATTAATGATTACTAAAGCAGTTGACATTTGTTTTAATGATTGATTAAACCGATTAATTGTTTCAGCCCTAAATTGCAATAAATGTATTTTCTGCTTAAAATAATGTGATTTTTTTTTTCCCTCAGGGTATCTATGTGACCAGGATAACTCCAGGAGGACCGGCAGAAGTTGCAGGGTTGAAGATGGGAGACAAAATCATGCAGGTGGGCAGTAAAAAATTTTCCTACTACATGCTAAAGCCACAAGATGGCACTCTTTCCCACTTTAAATCGTGAGCGAGCGCTGAACGTGTGTTTGGTTTGTTCTGGCTGTAAATCGATTAATGCTTCTCCCGTAATCTTGAAAACTATCCTTCTTCCTTTCAGGTGAACGGCTGGGATATGACCATGGTGACTCACGACCAAGCTCGTAAAAAACTGACAAAGAGGAAGGAGGACGTTGTGAGGCTATTAATAACCAGAAAGTCCCTAGAAGAAACCGTTAAACAGTCTATGGGATGTCATCCCAAACAGTGATCCAAGGGTGTTAACTGTAGAGGCTAATGCAAGGACGGCAAAGGAACGAACATTTTAATAAGCGCTAAACATTTCCCAAATGCTGTTTCACTGTGGCCTTTAAACACCATCAATGCAAAACAAGCTAACAGAGAGAAGTCAAACATTTAGGGGACTTATCTGAGGCTTGAATATATCAATAACTGCTAGAAATGTATTAGCTGTTCTTTTAAGGTTTGTTTGTAATTTAGTGTAATTTACAAACTGACAAACCTGAACAGCAGATTAAATGAATCATTCAGGTTTCACCATAAGAATGTAATATTTGATCTACTGCAGCATTGATTTACAAGCTGTGTTGTGAGTGAGTGTAGAACAAAATGACTTATTGACTTTCATTTTCATAAATTTGTCAAACTAACTTCTAAGCATTTAGAATCAGCAACTCTAATAAAAAACATGTTTCTCAGTTTGGCAGCAGTTTTCTGTTCATCTAAAACAAAGAATCAAACTTCTACTACAGTGGATACCAAAGATACTACCAAGCATTGAATTCAGTATTTAATGCAGAGTTTTTCCTACTTTTCCCTTCTAACAAATGGTACAATTTATTTTATATAGTCTGTGCATGAATGACAACTTTCAGGGTTTCTAATTATTTACTCGCCTCTTTCTTTTGGTTAAATTTCTGTTTCTGCTTAGAAGGACAGAATATCTAAATCTAAGTAAAATTAATAAGAACTGAATTTTGAATATTTTATATTTTTGGTTGATACAAGGTTAAAAGTTTAAAAAATATATAATATTTTATAAAATTGGCCTAGTACAGGTGTTTTTACAATTATTACTAAGCAGAAGCCAAATTATAGTTATATGTATTAATTTTAAATTGCATTATTCTGGGCATTGATTATTGTGGCACACAGCTAACAAACTTTTTAAACTGAAAGTTTAACATTCAGAGTTTGTATTAGTGGACATATTATGGCATATATTCCCCTGATGTATGCCTAACAATACTTTACTATTATATTTTTTTGGTATATTACTTTAAAATGCGGTTTTATCTTTTCCACTGATTACATTTGATTCATATAATAAAAAAACTTTGAGGCAATAGGTTTGTTGTCTAATGTTTTTATTCTTAAAAGTATGAATTTTAAATGTTCTGGTTCAGGTAAGATGTGAAAATAAGGCTTCCTTTTTAAATTGTCTTGTTCTATATCCTAATTCAGCAATTTAAATTGAACATGCTCTGTGCTTTATAGAACAATCAAAATAGAGCTGTTCTAGATGTTTTATTTCTATTATGAATACATTTTTTGAGGACTAACTCTACATTTATTTAGTTTTATCCTTTTTTTTTTTATTAGATTTGTTTGCCTTCACAAAACGTATGTGGAGTTTTCCAGCAAAGAGATGATGAGGCTGAAATTGAATGTTATTGTTTTTTGTATTTTTTTTTTTTTTTTTTTTTTTTTTTGCTAAAAATAACCAAAATTAGGCTTAAAAAATGTATAGACTAAATCACATTTTCAAGTGGGAAGAAAAATTGCAAAAACTTTCACTCATTTTACTAGGAATACAAATGTTTTTAATGCTAAAATAAAAAAAATTTAAAAAAGTTATCAATATAAAATACTTTGGCTCTGAGTTGTATACAGCAGAGCACTTTGGAAAAAGAAACACACAGTGATGCGGTTGGCCATCTTCTCACTCTGTGTAGGTGGAGCCTTCTTTACCAGCAACCCCATGCTTTTTGATTGGGTTAAGGTGCCTTATTTATACACTACCATTAACTTCACCTTCCCACAGTTGTTGATTAGCAACGCTGCATGCCCCAACTGCTTCTTCCTCAAGAAGTTCTTCTTTGTTCTCTCAACAATCAGGAAAAGTTTGATATTTTTTTTATTTTATTTTTTTGCATCTGGTCAGAGGATGTCAAAACTGTTTAAATCTTCACTGAATTTCCCCACATTTGATTTAGGGGGAAATTCTGGCAGGAAATCAGGTACATTAGGAAAGCTCATTTAATCTGGTTATATACAGTAGTCCAGGTCTTGAATTTTTCAGTCCTGATCCATATCTTGTGGTAATAGGTTGAAAAGTACATAGACACTAAATTAGGAACTTTGCTTTTCAGATCTGCTCTTTATTCACCACAACAGTCCAAAGTAGTACATGTACCTCATTACTGCAGAAAATCATCCAATTCATCATTCAGGCTCCTTTTTCATCCAAACCAACACTCATTAACAAGTTGGCTATACATTTGAATTCCTAAGCTTCTGGTAAAAAAAAAAAAAAAAAAAGACCCTTGTCAATTTATTGGAACATTTTTGGCTTAATCTTTGCAAGGAGGCTGATAGCGCAGTTGAACCACTCTTTCTTTCTTAGTTTTTTTTATTTTTTACTTAGGAATACATCTCCCCTCCAAGTTCCCTGTCCTTATTGAGCACTTTGATTACCTCATCAACTTCTACCAAGACA